TAGGTCCATTTAAGTTGCATTTTTTAAAATCTCCAAAACAATGTATAATATCATTGATGAACACCTCTGTAATACCCCAAATTTTAACACATAGCTTGAGCAATTCATTTTTTTGATGTTTGTTACTGTTTTGTTTTTGTTTTTTTTGTAAATAATCTTTATCATTAAATTGCATTTCTAGTTTAAATATTTTTTTTTTAGGAAGAGCATGCCTTGTCAGTATCTATGTTTTTTTCTGCTTTAAATTGTTAATATATATTACTCAGCCACAAAAAAGAATGAAATAATGCCATGTGCAGCAACATGGATGGACCTCAAGGTTATTATATGAAGTAAACCAAAGACAAATATCATATGATATCACTTAAATGTGGAATCTTAAAAAAAAATACAAATTTTATTTACAAACCAGAAACAGACTCATGGACACAGAAAACAAACTATGGTTACCAAAGGAGAAAGGGAAAGGGAGGGATAAATTAGGATTTGGGGATTAACAGATACACATTACTATATATAAAATAGATAAACAATGGAAGTATATTCAATTTTTTGGAATAAACTATAATGGAAAGAATCTAAAAACATATATATACATGTATATGTATAACTGAATTGCTTTGCTATACACCTGAAACTAATACTGTAAATCAACTACACTTCAATAAAAATAAAATTTTTAAAATTGTTAATATAATAGATTATGTTAACAGATTTCCTGATATTAAACTATTCTTGCATTCCTGAAATAAATTCTGCATGGTCATTTTGATACTCTGATATATTCCACTTGTTTATATTTTATTTAGACTTTTGCATCTACTTAAGGAAGATTAGTCTATAATTGGATTTTTATTATTATTTTATTCTTGGATGATAACGATTTAGCATACTCACTAAAGTTTTAATGGCTTAGTAAAGTTAAGAATATAATTAAAAATAAGAAAGGATAAAAAAACCACTTATAAAAAGTCTGAAATATCTCACTGGAATAAATTCTCACTTATCGATGGTATTAAGACATAGGGTAGGCTAGCTAATGAATAAGTCAGATTAACCAGAAACTTCTTTGCAACCATAACGAACTCCTCATGTAAGCAGTTAACAATATCAGACATTTCAGAGTAATAATGTTAAGGTAGTTTAAGAGAGAGCTCTTAAAACACAGAGATCTCATAGCCAAGATATGGAAATAACCTAAATGTCTACAGACAGACAAATGGATAATGAAAACACAGTATATACATACAATGAAATACTACGCAGCCTTAAAAAGAAAATTCTGCCATTTGCAACAACACAGATAGACCTAGAGGACATTATACTGAGTTAAATAAGCCAGGCTCACAGAGGTAAGTGCTATATGATCTCACTCATATGTGGAATCTAAAGTAGTCAAAGTCATAGAAGCAGAGAGGAGAATGGTGGTAACCAGAGGCTAGGGGAGAGGGAAATGGGGAGATGTTGGTCAGTGGGTATAAAATTTCAGTTATACAAGATGAATAAGTTCTAGTGATCTAATGTACAGCATGGTGACTACAGGTAACAATATTGTACTATGTAGCTGAAATTTGCTAAGAGAATAAATCTCAAGTGTTCTCACCACACACACAAAGAAGTAACTATGTGAGGTAATAGATATGTTAAGTAGCTTGACTGGTGATTATTTCACAATGTATATACATATCAAATCATCAAGTTGTATTACCTTAAATACATACAATAAAAAATAAAAGTAAAATAAACCCAGGAATCTCTTTCAGATGTCACATCCTGTAAAATTAATTTATATGTTAACCATAAAAAGTGGCCCTGAGTTAAAAAATTTGACTATATGGACTGATAAGACTAACAGTTTTGCTGCCCAGAGTTAAATAGGCTTTCCTAGGAAACTATCTCCTATTACTGAAATGTTAATAATATAGCTACTTAAGAGTGGTGATAACAAAAGGACAATCAACAGTAATCTCATGATAATGAGTTATAAAAATAAATAATAATCATATACTAGAATTTATGAACCCTCAAATTGTGGAAAATCTGTGCTTTTATTAGAAATGTACAATGTGAATTAAAACTTCAAGATACATAAAACTGCTTTAAAAAACTCAAAAAGGAATCATTTCTAGGTTTCTTACAATAAACTCAAAAAGTGAAAACCATGAAAAAAGGGCTTTGTAACTAACACAGCTGCCAAAAATGAGACACATTGTTTTGCTGGAAACAGAAAGGAACCAGTCTACCACCAGCTTTGTAACAAGCTTTTTAGTGTCCTTCACTGATTGGTATGTTCAGAATCAATATAAATTTGAGCAATCTTTTCTAAGAGCCACTTTAGGAAACAAAGTTTATAGGCCATGTGTTTTTTTCCAAATGAAAATAACTTACCCTAGTATCATTTATAGTCTTCTAACACAGTCTACTTAGAAATACAAAAGAATGTCTGTGAGGAAATGAACTATTTATGACCACTAAAAAATTAAGTCATCATTAAAAAGTATCATCCCAGAGGAAGTTGTTTAATTCTTCATCCCTTATGAAGCTACTAGCCTTCCTGGAGCTGATACACTCAGTTTCCTGAGTGATGACTATGCCTCATCTACCAGTCTCATCTCATACTCTGAGAAACTTTATTTACTAGGGTTGTCACACCAGTTCCTGTTCCTGTGGACTTACTAGTGTTTAAATAATCTCATTTGCCAATTGGAGAAAAAAAAAAAGGTTTGTGCAGCATTTTGGAGCTCAAAGTATATTCTCATTCATTATCTCGTATCACTTTCAAAATAATCTCTCCAGATGGAAAAATTGAAGCTCAGATAGGTGAAGTGCCTTGCTCAAAATGACATAAATACTTAGTATAAAAACTAGAACTGGAATTGGTTTATTTCATTTCATAGCACTTAATTTCTGTAGTATACAGGCATTGTGCTAGGTACAAAATATGAGATAAATAAGAGGCATTCATCCTCCCTCAGACTGGTTCACTGTTCCAGTCAGTTCCATTGAGTTAAAAATCTCCATTCTGCAGAAACTGGACCATGTATTCAACAAATATTTATTAAATGCCTACTCTGTGCTGGCACAGTAAAATAAGAAGCACTAGGACAAGCAGTGAATAAATAAAACACACTAAAATTCCTGTCCTCACAAGGTTTACAATTTCACTGGAAGAAAACAGATCATAAACAAATATATGAATATACATATGGCAGGTGGTAGTAAGTGCTATGAACAAAATAAAGCAGGAAAAAGGCAGGGAGAATGATGGAGGCAATGCTGTTTTATACAGGGTGGTCCAGGTAACACTGCTAAGGAGAAATCTGAGCAGAAACTTGAAAAAAGGCATAAAAGTGAACTATTCTGGGTATGTAGGGTAAGAACATTCCAGGTGAACAGAATAGCAAACACAGAGGCCTTAGGTATGAAGATGCTCCAGTCTTAGGCTTTCTGACTATTCCTTTCTTTTCAAGCAGTTCCCTACTCAGTCAGCTGCTTCTGTCCCCAAGTATGGGGAGAATCCTCTAATTGAATGTTCAGACAAGGTGGGGAGTATAGCGCAGGCTTAGCATGCACAAGGTCCTGGGTTCAATCCCCAGTACCTCCATTAAATAAACAAACAAACAAACCTAATTACCTACCCTCCCCACCCACACACACAAGTTTAGATAAAATGTTTCAATGGCTGTTTTTCTTCTGAAGTTATCATCCCTACCACTACCTACTAATCCATCTTTTTTGTGTAAGACAGAGAATTTACTCATCACTAGTCTAACAAGTGATGAATACTATACTGATGAATATTACATAAAAAAGCTAAAAATCTCTCTCTAGTCATTTGGACTGATGTGGGTAATTACTTTACCACTCCTCACTACCTCCAGGAGGTAACCTGGAGCAAAGGGGAAACCACAGCCTTTAATAATATGAATTAAGTCTAATTCAGGAAACTTAGATAACTAACCCTTAGCAGTTGCCCATTCAGAAATTGCTGCAGGTTATAAATAGTTCAGAAGAAAAAAAAATAATGTTCTAAGACAGTGATTGAGAAAAAAACATGCTAACAGAAGATCTTAACTTGCATAACCGTATCTTACAATCATACAACTTTAACTTAACAATAAGAGTGAAATTTTGAGTCTCAAATATTAAGATGTGAAAGAGAGTATTTTCACACTACTTTCATATTATGTACTACATAAAAAGAGAATAAAGTATAATCATTAAAAATCCTAAAATATATCAATAACTCTATACACCTATGAAATTTCATTTTCATATCCATTATCAGAACCTGCCACATCACTTTCTGTCCAGCATAGATAACTATTTTGTCCCCACATATTATGATTTATGTTACATGTTAGTGCAAGAAAAAGCCTGAGTTATCTTTTTTTCAGCAATAAAGCATTTTTTAATGAAGGTATATACTTTTTTTAGACATGTTATTATATACTTAACAGACTACAGCATAGTGTAAATGTAACTTTTATATGCACTGGGAAACAAAAAAATTCATGTAATTCCCGTTATTGTGATAATTGCTTTATTTTTTAGTTTTCCAGTTTTTTGGGGGGATGGGGTGGGGGGGTTGGAGGTAATTAGCTTTAGTTATTTATTTTTAGAGGCAGTACTGGGTGGGGATTGAACCCAGGACCTTGTACATGCTAAGCACGCACTCTACCACTTGAGCTATAATACCCTTCCCCAGATAATTGCTTTATTGGGGTGGTCTTTGAGGTATGCCTGTAATGTGTGACTTTCCTGTCAAGTAAGCTCAAGGATGCAGTTAGGACACTGAGTGAAGGAGAGGAAGGAAACCACTGTTCTGTCCTCAGTCCTTTGCATAGTGTCTCACACAGCACAACAGTATGTTGGTCACAGTTAGGAAGCCTCTTGGCCTCCAGAGCCCAGAAGTCTGAGCTATCTTAAAGATTAGGTACTTTTTTCTTCTGATCCACTTACCTTAGCCCAATAGCGAAAGGCTAACACCAAGGGAGTAAAGACAGGTTCCATTTTGCCAAGAGCAGCAAGTAAATCAGTAGTGAGGCATGCCATATCATTTCCTGCACTCACTCTACAAAGCAAACCACTGTGAATGAAAAACAAACAAATTTTATTGTATTAATACCTTAAAAACCAAAACACTTCAAATCCTGTGGTTATCCTTTCCAGTCACCATGTGCTAAAACCTAAGAAGTCATAATAAAAACAAATGTTTTAATGAACTTAGAGCTACCAAAAACTATATAACATTTCCATCACTAGAATTCCATACAAACAAAAGATGTTTTAACTGTTCATTTATACTCTGGAAATAAATTTCAACCTCATTTTGTAGTTAAGTTCATGAAAAATTTATTCCAAAAGCAGCATTATGATTCACCAAAATTTAATTTATATTAGAGAAAAGACATTGATCTTATCAATGTCAAATAGTGCAATATACCTTCCTAGTTCATTCTTTTTGCTTTGCACATGATAAAAGCAAAAAATGAAATACTGAACTGACTATACTTCTTGACTCTAAGTTCTCCTATCCAAGCTTGCATGATTTATTGATATGCTACTCTTCAGAATAGAATCTACCCATTAATCCACAAGTAATGTTTATATGTAAATGAAAATAGGAGGTACTTAAACGGGGTGACAGAATTATAGTAGAAATATTTTGGTGGCAGGGAGAAGAACGTAACTAAGGTTGCCACACAGAGGCAATTTGGCACGATGTGATGAAAAAAATGCTAGAAGTCAGAATACCTCCATTGCAATTCAATTTTCCTCTGAATAATTTGAATTTGGACGAATCATATAATCACTCTAGGTCTCAATTTTCTAATTTAGAAAATAAGGAAGTTGAACTGGATCTCCATAGATCCTCCAAGCTCTGAATAAGAAAATATAGTAATCTTAAAATGTAAGAAATACAGGTTAATAATAAAAGAATTTTTTATCATTTCAGTATTGTTTCCATGTCTCCCACATTGATCTTAATAGGATTATTTTAGTTCCCTTTTTCAAAGGCATTTTGCTCTCTGTCCTGCAAATATCTGATTAGAAAGGCAAGCTTAGTCTTCAAAGACTCCTTCAATTTCAGTGAACTAAAATCTAAATTCTAATAGACAGTGAGCTCCTTGAGAAGGGAGGCTATTTCTTATTTATGTTTGAAATAAGCAAAGCAGTACCTAATATATAGTAAATGCTCAACACTGTCCAGTGAATAAACTTGAGATTCAAATGAAAAGTTTTGCATTAGAATGTTTTATTTTTAACTGTCTGGTAACTCTATTTCTTGTTCACATGCTTTAGCAGGCTTGCTATTTTTAATAAAAAGAAACTAACTTAGTCATGTTAACCCAAAGAGAAATCTAAAAAAATTTTCTCTTACAGATGTTCACTGCATATTTAGCTGTTATTGTTATTTTTAAAATACTATATTTTCTCTTTACTGTTACCAACCTTTTCCGATCCTTGCACACCACAACGGGAACTTTCGCATGAAAATCAGATTCCACATCTACATATAGTACTAATGAGGAAAAAAAATTAAAACAAGTAAGCTAATGTCAGCATCTCTCAAATGTTTACTCTATGGCAAACATTAAGTAATAGTTTCCTTCTAAAAATCACTCTCATTGCTTCTGTGGGATAATCCACTCTTCTCATTATGAGCATCAACCCAACAGAATCTCTTACCTCTCTTGGTGTCATTTGCTGTATTATCACAAACCACAGGCAGAGTCCCAAATATTGTCCGAACATTATAATCACCTTAAGAAGAAAGGTTTTAACATCCCTAAAAGTTTGAATATTTCCAAGTAAGTATAAAATTTAGTCAAAGTTATTAAACCTTCAAAAATATAGCAAACAGAAGACACCACTTACTTCTGAGGGCTATTTCCATAGGAGTCACGAAATGAGAAACTACAAGGCTTTGACAATTTAGTTCTTTTAAATTATTCATGGCAGAAAGGCTAACTCTGCTGTCCCCATTTCCTGTTAATATAAGAAGAGTCTGCCCAATCAAAACTCCTAAGGAAGGACTAACAGGTGAAGCATACTTCCACTCTGAAGGCTATCTCTGTATCTCCAAGGTAGGCCGCATGCCATAAAATAACTAATCTAAACAAAAATAGATGGATTAACACTATTTCACTTGAAGTTTAAAGAAAATCTCTTAGAAGTACTTGTTGGAATTATTAACTTATTCAAAAAACACGTGCTAAAGACCTACACATCAGGAATTCCATTATGCATGGTGGATATGACAATGAATAAGACACAAAGAGCCCAAGTAAGGATTTGGAAAACATATAAACAAATAAACTCTGAGGATGACAGGATAAAGGTCTTTAAAGAATGCAGAGGGCATAAAGGAGGGAATAACCAATTTTACACTCAGACTAAATTTTGTAAACCTATGTTATATGACTTAAGATGATCTATTCATGTATGTTAGTGAAAAAGAAAATTTTAATATTTTTGCTAGCTTAATACTGTCTCGTGAGTCTAAAGAGGTAAAAGCCCTTATCAGTAATCTGCTTTAGAATTTTTGTGCAATTTGAGACAACTATTCATTAAGAAAGAAAGTGATATTAAAACCCCTTTACAGGTTAAACTGGACCAACTAAATGCCATAAAAATTAATCATCCAGGAAAATGGCCAAGGAGCTGATAAATATTGGAGAGCTGATAGGGCAGACAGAGAGAAGAAAGGAAGTTTAGAACTGATGGTAGAGCCAATGAGAGAGTAGGGCAAATTAAGGTCAACAAGCTATCTCTTCTAAGTCAAAATGCAAATATTTTTGCCAGGTAATTTTGATTCATAAAATTTAAGATGATAATAGTAATAATAACAATCACAGCAGAAGAAATTTAGTAAGTTACTGTATACCAGGCACTATTTTAAGCTATGGCTTAACCTATTTCATCCTCAAAAGCAGACTTCCCACCAAGGGGGAGGGGATACCTCAGTGGTAGACTATATGCTTAGCATGTACAAGGTCCTGGGTTCAATCCCCTGTACCTCCAGTAGGTAAATAAATAAACAAACAAAATTAATTACATCCCCCTCCAAAAACAAACAAAACCTTTTAACTTAAAAAAAAAAAGATACCACATTATTGCCATTTTACAGATGAGAAAACTGAAGCTTTAACTCTTAAAAAATCTGTCAAAGGATACAAAACCAGTAAGTGGTAGAACTAAAATTTGAGCCCAGAAGTCCTGGCTCCAGATCCTGAGCTCATAGCTTTACTTTATAAAAAGAAAAGCAGTAAGTAAAACCAAGAGACTAATACTCCAGATTGTACTATATGACCTGGGACCTGCTTTAAGAAAGTTGTAATTTCTAAAATTTTTATTTTAGAAGTATTTTTTACCTATATGAATGTCCTTTTTACATAAAAATCAATCTACATAGATAAGCCACATATGAAAAACTTACTAAGTATAATTTTGTTGATGTAATATAAATGGTTGAATTAGGTTAATATTGTTTCAAGTGGGAAAAAAAATGTTTACCCAATGCATACGCACATTTTTTTCCCCAAGTCTCTCCCTAAGTCTTCTTTCATCAGCATTCTCCCTATGATTATAGGTTTCCTGTCTTCTTTTACACAAGAAAAGTCCATAATATTCAAAGGTAACTTTTTAAAATTACCCAAAAGGCAGCAGTTTTGTTATAGCAATATTAAATATACTTGTGATCTAATCAACATGTGAATTTTCTACTACACCTATTAAATACATATATATATATTTACATGTAACTACATGTATATGTATATCCACATGTAATAAAATGACTCAAATAATGCTAACAGTTTTAGTTTACCTTGGTTAGCCATACATAAACAATAAAATGCATGTATCTTTATCATTAAAGAATTTTCTTTAGAAAGACAAACTTAAAAATAAACTCACCACTTTTTTTTAAAATCCCAAGCACTTGTATCAGAAGATCAGGATGATTCATCTAAAAAAGTTTCAAATTAAATATATATACTAACTTCAAAGTTCAAGTTTAAGAACCTTAAAAAGAATTCAATTTCATTAAATACTTAAAATCATGCTCTGTATTTTAAAATAATGAAAACAGCACAGTGTTTCAGTTTTATGTTAAGAACCCCTGTTCATGGAAGTAGAATCTAGTAAATCATTAGTGGTATTATCCCAGAAACACTCCTAGAATTATTATCTTAAGAGTGAGAAAAGACTCTGGAATTTCACTCAAAACAAATGAAAAGAAATTCATTTACCAATGATTTCAAAAGAGAAGTTGTTGAGATAAGAAATTTGAGGGTTACTGACAACTGGCAGCATGGCCAAAATTCTTAGATTAAAATACTACTTTAAATAACAAGCATGTCAAATGTTAGTTTAAACGTGTACTTTGCTGTTATTAAAAAGTATTTAATAATCATATATGTAAGTAAATGACTGTATCAGACTAGAAATTAAAACATCAAATTTTCACTAAAATCAAATTTCCTTGAGCATAAATTTATATTCAAAAAATTAAAAACACATAAAATGTCAACTGATTATTTTAAATATTTGATATGTTAATAAAAGCAATGTTAGCAGTGCTAAACAATATTGGTACTTTTGCTAATGGTCCTAGCTACTACTTATTAAAACTACCCATAATGTACCAGGCGCTATATTTTGGAAACTAGACACCGAGACTCATGAAGGTCAAATAACTTGCTCATTGAAGCCAAGATTTGAACAATGATGTCTGATTTCAAAGTTCTCTCTTATTTCTATACTGTTTACCATAAGCAATAACTGTTCAACTTGTTCAAATATAAGCATTTTTCGTTTTTTTTTGAATGCCTTCTTCCTTTTTTTTTTGTTCCTTATTACTTTAATCCCACCTATGTCTAACTTTTCCTAAAAAGTACTTTCCAAAAGCACTGTTTAATCAAGATAGCAACATTCTACAAGCCAGTTTTATAGTCCTCTATAGCTTTTCTAAAAAGATAATCAATAAAAAATACCAAGTACCAGTTAAGAATCACACAGGAAAGGTTCTTTTCTACTTACCTTGGGAGGAAATTTTATATCTATATTAACATCACTACTTTTCAGAGCAAACTTAGACAGAGACGAGCCATACAACCTAAGTGAACATTCTGGAAACAAAGGAAAAATATCAAAGTGTGAAACAGTCTGCAAATATGAGAATTTTAAAAAATAGCAACAGGAAAATTGCAAATATTTCAACTCCATGTTTTCCAATTCTAGTACAACAATTATAGAAGAATAACATCCTTTCTAACTGATCTACAAAATAATAAAAATGTTCCTCAATTACAGGGTTCAGGAACAGAGAAGGGAGAGAGAAATAACTCATATAAGCTTAGTGTTTAAATAAAATTTTAGTAATAATTCACTTAGAAATGATCAGAAATATGTTTAGCATTTAATATGTAAGAGTAAAGAAGGTACTAACCTAGCTACAGCCATTGTCACAAACTACATTTATTTTTAAGTATCTATATTTTATGTAAGAGACAGCACTTCTTGGGGGAAGAGATCATAGACGTTCAATGCCAGTGCTCTTTAAAAATACAAAGTGAAGTGAGGTCAACTGATATTGCAACCCTAAAATCAAAACAACTCTGGTTCTCAAGAGTTCATAGAACAAAATAAATAGAAACAATACATGCTACCTACATCTTGCTCAATCTACCAAATAGCAGAATAAGGTAAATTTTCAAAGGATCACACCAGAATGCAGTTTGAAAAATAACATGATTGAGACTCATCAGGCTAAGTATGTTAGAAAGCTTAAATTTATACTCAGCTGTATATATAAAAGTGTACCTCTCAAGCACAAAATGTCTGCAAGTCATCCAAGTTGTTAAAAATCATAAATATTTCACTTCTATTCTGATAATAATAGTGAATCTTCCTATTTAATGTAAACTAGTATCAATGTTTTTAGATAGAAAACTACATTATTATAGAAAGGATAAAGAGAAATAAAAATTTTCAGTTTCAATTTTATGTTTTGTCTTATAAATCTTACAATGGCTCTACATAAAATTATAATTTGTCAACTGTCTAAAATTCCTTTGGTGGTAAGAGACAGGTCTTATTTAATATACATTTACCTAAATTCAGTATTAATACACAAAATGATGAGGGCTAAGCAAATAATCTATACATAAATGTCTACAATAAACCTGGCTTAACTCTCCCTTGCACCAAAAACATAAGCAAAGAAAGAGCAAGAGTCAAAAAGAAATAAAACTATAAATTTTTCCTCTAAAATCCTTAAAATAATTTTCCCCACTAACAAGCAATAGGAATTTATTCAGTGACTGATTCAAATGTATATACTGAAAATAATACAACTAAAATGCCCACTTAGAAGTCAATGGTAATGAAAAATTAATATAAAATATACTATTTGACCACTAAACAATTAATCCTGTATCTGGCATTTTTAAAATCTTTTTTTCTTATTACAAAAATTACGATATGCCATAATTCTCCATTTTTCTTTTTTGAAATATTTCCCCAAAAAAGCCATGCATAAAACAATTAAATTCATCTACTTTTAAGATGGAGAAAAAAAAGAAAGGAAAACATTAAGAAATTTACCCTAAGTTCAAGAGGAAGCAAGAGGAAGAGTTGTGTGATCTTAAAAATTAAGTATAAAATGAAGTACCTGGTAAAAATGTTGTTATAACCTTTGACATTTCTTCCACAATTTCCTGACGGACTCTGAGGTCATCATCTGTTATTCCTTGTTCTTTTGCCAATTCAATAACTGCAACAGTTAAAGCAGCCAAGTGGGCAGGGGTAGGAGGTGGCAGAGAACGAAGCTCACTTTCTTCCTGTTTTTCCTGTTAGTGTAACATTTAACAACATAAAAAGATTCCTATTTTAATATCCTCATATTTAGGAGAGAAGGACAGAAATATATTAACTCAACAAATACTTACCTTCCACAGCCAAATTTAAAACACTTAGGATATGGAAGTGAACAAAAGAGACAGATCTCTGCCTTGGTGAAGCAAGATTGGAAGAATGAGAGGTGCTATATTAAACATTATTAAACATTAAAAAAAAACTTGTTTTACTTTACTGTCTGCAAATTCTGAAATGCTGTATCAAAGCCAAGATTCCCTAAGTACAACATTTAGCTGATAATTTTGCTGCAGCCAAGAGAGACTGTATTAGATGTAGCAGAGGGTCTTAAATATCTCTGACTGTCATGTACAGTATCAGATTAAATGGCCCTAGAAAAACATCTTAAACATTATCATATATTTGATATATTACCTATCATCTACAACTGAGTTTTCTGTTATTTTATATAACACTAGGCAAAGTGTTTTTTTAAAAATCTCTGTTCTGATAAAAGTTTAAAAGCCAATTTAAAACAAGGAGCTAAAGAGGGACTATATTATACACACAGAATGACTTTTTAAAATTAATTATTCTGATTTTTAAAATACACGCTAACTGCAAAAGCTACATAAATTATAGGAAAATGCAATCAAGAAAATCACCCACCAGCTCAAGTCCTACTATTTTCTTCATTTTTAAACAAAACTGAGACCATATCATTTCTCTTATTTAATATTATAACAAAGGCATTTTCTATTACTACATTTCAGTCAAGAAACAATCTCTTACTTTTTGAGACATGGAGCTCCCAACAGAATAATCAAAAGTAGTTTGTTCTTTCCCCCTCCCCCAACCCCACACAGTTAAACAAGGACTCTGGCCTATTTCTAATTTTATTCTTTGTTACCACATTCAGGCTTAACATAAATAAAGTTTACCTAACAGAATAATCAAACACAGAAAGTAAGACAACCTTATTTTTATAAGTTTCTGTGACCATTTCTGCAATCTTAATTATAAACTATATCTTAGATGAGAGTCTCAGTTTTCAGGACTATTTTTTTCAGGATTCATTCAAGGCATTAACAGCAACATACTTAATGAAAAAATGACACAAGATTAATATGCAAGAAACTTTTCTTTCTATATGAAGAAGTACTGCTAGATCGAAATAACAGGCTAAAAAACAATCAATGAACACACTCTTCTATCTATACTATTAATAAGCTTATCCTACATCCTTTAGGATACTGTTCCATCAAACATTCAGACTGACATCCTCTTATCATTGATCATCCCCAAATCATCCTGACATCCTCATGTACCCTATCATAAATATGATCATTTAAGCACTTAGCCTTCTGCAACTTATATTCTAGAGGAAATAGACAACAGATAAATAAATTAATATGTTACGATGTCAGATAGTGTTATTAAGAAAATTAGAAGAGTAAAAGGCTATGGACTGATGGGAAGGAGGTGTTCATTTTATAATAGAGTGGACATAAAAATCTGCTCCAAACAGGTAAAGAGACCTGAAAGAAGTGAAGAAGAGATATTAAAATTTCTGAGGGAAGAACATTCAAAACACAGAGAACAGTAAATACAAAGACTCAGAGGCAAGAAAATATTTAATGTTATTTGAAGAAAGCAATATGGCTAAAGCTGAGTAACAAAGGGGTGAGTGTGAAAGATGATGAAGCTGAAAAGCTAATTAGAAGGCAAATATTGTATAACCTTATAAAACTTGGTAAGAGCTTAAAATTTTATTCTAAGTTGGGAAGCTACTGATGGGCTATGAGCAGGAAGTAACATGTTATGACATACTTTAAAAGAACAATTGCGGCTGCTAAATGAAGATTGTGGGGGGCAAGAAAAGGGATAAGTTGGAAGCAGTCCAGGTGAGAGATAGCTTAGATTAAAGCAGAAAAAGTAGAGGTGTGTGTAAAAAAAATGACTAAATCTAGAATACATAATTCTACAGAATTTGCTAATTGTTTGAATGTGGGGTGTAAAAGAAAAAGAGATGGATCTCAAATGTACTTACCCTAAGCAACTGGGTAAATGGTGGTGCCTTCTGCTAAGATGAGGTAAATGCTAGAGAGAATTAAGTTTAGGCTAGAAAAACTGGCCCATGATACAAAAGCCTCCTAATTAGTTTCCCATCTCTAGTCTCCAGACCTTCATCCCATTCCTCATATTTCTACCAGTTATTTTCCTACTTAAAAAACCTTCAATAAATCCTCAACAAAATACTAGCAAATCAAATTCACAGAATTTTAAAAGGATTATTTACCATGGCCAAGTGTAATTTATTCCTGGAATGTAAGAACGGTTCAACATAAAATAATCAACCAATAATATACCACCTTAAGGTATGAAAGGAAAAAAAAAATCACCTCCCCTGATACAGAAAAACTATCTGACAAAATTCAACATTCATTTACGGTAAATTCACTCAACAAACTAGGAATAAAATGAAACTTACCATTATGTAATAAAGACTACATATGAAAAACCCACAGCTAACATCACATTCAATGGTGAAAGGCTGAAAGCTTTCCCTGTAAGATCAGGCACAAGTAAAGAATGCCCATTTTCACCACTTCCATTCAACGTATTATTGGAAGGTCTAGCCAGAGGAATCAGGCAAGAAAAAGAAATAAAAGGCACCCAAATTGGAAAGTAATAAATAAAATTATCTCTATTCATAGATAACATAATCTAATATGTACAAATCCTCAAGTGTACCAAAAAATAAGTGTTAAAACTAATGAACAAATTCAGCAAAGTAGCAGGATACAAATCAGCACACAAAAAGCGTTGCATTTCTATCCACTAACATTGAACAATTTGAAAAGGAAACTAAGAAAATAATTTCTTAAGGAATAAAATACTTAAGAATTAACTTAACCAAGAAGATGAAAGAGTTGTATACGGAAAGAGACAAAAGTCTCCTTAAAGTAATTAAAGAAGACATGAATAAACAGAAAGATACCTTCATGTTCATGGATTGGCAGACCTAATATCGTTAAGATGTCAATAGTACTCAAAGCAATCTACAGATTCGATGCAATCCCTATCAAAATCCCAATGACAGTTTTTTGCAAAAATAGAAAAAAATTATCCTAAAAGTCACATGGAATCTCAAGGGACCCC